AAAACATGAGAGGGACAGGGCCCTGGAATGCACTCAGAGTAGGGGTGCTAGGGAACCCGGGGTGAGCTCAATTTCACTTACTTCCAGTTCCCTCAGACCACATTTCGGCCTGATGGGAAGCATTTCATTCTGAGGGAGTTGTATTTTTCCAAGCTGCCCAGGTTGCTGGTTTTCATTTTTGTTTTTTTTTTAAATCTATTTTTGGAATTAAAATCCTCTCAAATAAGGATATCTTTCTAAAGCAATTATGAGAATCACCTCTCACTGAAGTGGCCCAAAGCTTGGTGACTGATTCTGGGTGATGTGGGTATGAGGTGGGACTGGCCTGTAAAGACCGAGTGAAGCGATTATGGTTGATTTGCCTAAAAGATCCCAGTGCCTGTTGTAATTATGAAGAACATTTTTCTTAGATGAGGTCATGCCATTTCATGGAAGCTATTTCTGGAAGAGCTTGTGCCACACAAGGAATTAAGTCTAGAATCAAGCTCATGGTTTAGGCTTTCAAAGGATTCAAAACTAGAGACGTGAATTACTGACCTGGGATCTTCATTTCCCTTTAAACGTACTTTCAAGAAAAAAATCATACACTTGGATTAATTTTTGCCAAGCCTTTCTCTATCACTGAGAAAGGTGATGAGATTCCAACAAAGGATGAATAATGTTCATACAAATTATCTTTAAGATCTCTTCCAGGTCTGAGATCCTCTGATCCCATATTTTGGAGGCAAGTAATCTCAGAACTTTTTACTGATACTTTAAATGCCATTTCTCATGCCAATTCAGTGATTCATTTGTTTCTTCTAAAGTTTCTCACAGCAATATTATTTAATTCAAGTTTTCTAAGAGATCAGTTAGCTCCACCAAACAGAAAAATTTAATAGCTTGCTCACCTTGTCAGCTCGGTAAAGTTCTAGCCTGTGTTGGTGGCCAGAAAAGGGGGGGGGGCAGCTTTGGTGAGTGCAACAGAGAGAGAGAGTGGAGGGTCATTTGGCAAATAAAAGATGGCTCTTCTGTTTCTGAATATATGAATCTCTGGGTGATGGATGCAGAGGACTACAGATGTCATTTCTGCACCCAGGGCTCTAAATCTGCTCAGTTATTAAGTCAATTTTCAGCATAGAAGAAAGAATGGCAACTCGACCTGGGTCAGTAGATCAGGACAGTATATTAGCACTACTATAACCAACATGGGCAGGATGGGGCTTGGGAAAAGATGCTCCAAGTAGATTGAGAGCAGCCAGCCAGACAGTGGTGTTCACAGGACACACCCCCCAGTAGCTAAAAGAGCAATGCAGGGACTGCTGGGTAACTGAGGGCCTAGCTCTGGCTCTGCTGTAAACCTTGGCCAAAGCATCTCCCATCTTTGAGGGTTGGTTTCTTCATCTATGAAACAAGGTTATTGTTTTCTAAAGTTACTTCCTGTTTATATAGAGCTTCTTATGTCCCAGGCTCTGAGACAAGTGTTTTATAAAGCTGTTATTTGATTCTCCCAAAGTCTTGGGCCTTGGAGAGAGGACTCCCTGAGCCAGCTTCTGCCTCAGCCACTGGCCTCCACTGTCCCCACTGCAATCAACACAGAAGACTGACCCCACCCTTTCCTCCCCGTGGGCCAAGCTATTCAGGAAAGACATCTCCATGCAAGGCTTGACATTGTTTAGCCTGGAGAGAAGGCATTGGAGAAATGACTTATTAATTTTCTTCCATCAGGTCTATTTCTGGAGCTGGTAGAGACAAAGTGATTGCAAAATCTGAAGAGACTGAGGGAGTGTGTGGCCTGGCTGGCCCGAGGCCAGAAGGAGTGACACTGCATAATGAATTGGATATCCTGCAGGAGGGGTCTAGAGCCTAAAAGGAACTAGAGACAGGGCCACGGTGGTACTTCTTCACCTGGAGCTTCAGAGGTAGGACTTAAAAATTTAATAGATTCAGAGGTAGTATTTAAAAATTGGACCAGCTCTGAACACTTTGAACAGCTCATCTGTCCAATCCCCTCCAGCCCAGCCCTATGAGATCATAAGGAGCTTTTTTGCCGGGGCAGGGGGAGGCAATAACAACTTAGCACCCCCTTCACATTACGAAAAAGCTCATAGTGGCAATTTGATTAGAGAAGTTATAAAACATTAATTTGATTGATGAGCTATTGTGTACAAAAGTTTGTTGCTGAATCTTTTAATCTTTACCATGGTAGTTGGGGCAGGGACCTCAGTTGTCTGGGAGTCGGGAAATCTGGTTTGATCCTACCTAGCTAACTTCAGCCTCTTCATTTTTAGAATGTAAGGGTATATATGGGACACCTCCGGGGTGAAGGACTCAAGTACAACTTGGACTTTTCCTAACAAAGGCAAATAATGTAACCTGATCGTACATCCTCTTATATTAACACAAAGTTTAAGAAAAATGCTGGTGACAATCTCTGTTCTACTTTGCCCGCAAGGTTGTTGGGAGAATCAAAGAAGCTTATACACTGGTATATTGGAAGTGTTTTTGGAAACTGTCAAATAGTAATTGGATAAATGGCATACATTAGAAAAACAATTCATCCGTCAAAAATGATAAGCCTTTTGTTAGAACCAGTTCAGATTTTAGGAAAGGTTCACAATTCTAAAAATCATGCAAATTCTGTGAGTGGATAGAAACACAGGAAGGAGTAGGGAGAACCGAATGGTTGTATGGCCTTTCTTTCTTTCAGAAATAAAGAAGTAGACTCCAAGTTTACAACGTTAGGAAAAGACAGTATAGCAAAATTATCCTCAGATCACATGGCCTGAGCCTTCTGGACAAGGCCAAGTCCATTTTGCAAGAGGCTGAGAAGCTCATTCAGCACAGGGCAGCTTGCTGCTGGGGCCACCTCATTGTAGCTTGTGGAAACAACTCAAAAGCCAGAAGAAAAAGATGTCCAGTGTAAGGCCCTCTGGGCTTTTTGAGGCTGAGAATGTAGTTACATTTGAGGTAACTAGGGGTTCAAATCCCCTTCAGGGAAATAGAAATTGATAAGAAAAATTATATCATGTTTTTCTACCCTTGGAGATGAGAAATGAAATGTAATCTCCTGGTGGAGGACGAGCAGTCTCTAAGTTACAGACATCTCACTTATGTCCAATGTGCACTTATGAATGGAGGCTATTACAGTACATCAGAGTTACAAACATCTGACTGACCTACGACTCATCCTTACAAATGGAGGTTATTACAGGTAAGCGGTTAACGTGCCTGTTCTGACTTACATACAAACTCGATTTAAGAACAAACCTACAGAACTTATCTCATTTGTAACCCAGGGACTACCTGCCTAGGTGGTAGGCTGAATAATGGATATTCCTCCAAAGCTGTCCACATCCTTGTCTTTGAAACCTGTGACTATATTGCCTGATATGGTAAAAGGGATTTTGCAGATGGCGATTACCCTGGTTTATCCGAGGAAGTCCAATGTAATCACGGGGTCCTTACTTACGTGTGAAAGAGGGAGGCAGGAGGGTCAGAGCCATAGACAAAAAGCTGTCTGGTGGGGAAATAGAGGTCAGAGAGAGATTTGAAGATGTTATGATGTTGGTTTTGAAGATGGAGAAAGGCGCCATGAACCAGGAAACGCAAGCAGCTTCTAGAAGCTAAAAAAGGCAAAGAAATGGATTCTTCCCAGGCGCCTCCAGAAAAAATATAGCCCTGCTTTTCTCATTGTAGAATTCTGTCCCCCAGAGCTATAAGACGATGACTTCACATTGTTTTTAGCCACTAAATTTGTGATAACGTGTTTTAGCAGTAATGGAAAGGTAACATACTATTTAATGTCAAATTATGGTCTTCTTTGCTAAGTTTGGCCCCTATAAATCAAGAAAGGGCATTAAAAAAAGATAAACTCCCAAAGATTACTGAGACCAAAATGTTCAAGTGAATTCATTAACATGTAATTGCTAGTTTCCTTTAATTCCACAGCTACTGCTAAGGTAGTGAACCCTATCTGCTGACCTCCAATCTGAACTTGCCCTGTCTCTTCTTTCATAAACACACACAACCACACACACAGATAGACACAGACACACAGAGGCACACACCCCACTTAAAATAGGAAAAAGAAAAATTCCATGGGAGATCTGAGACCCACTGTGGCTCCCTAATTCTTGCGAGTAATGTCTCCTTACAGGCGGCCCAAGTCTTCTTATAGACCCCTCCCTTCCGCACTGTCTCCAAGTTCCCTAGCCATCGGAGGGCTCCCATCCTCTCAGAGGCAGCTGGATCCTAGACCCGAGGCTACTTTAGGGCAGAGGTCATAAGGGAACAGAGTTATGAATTACACGCAGGTAATGTTCATCCGATACCTGTCAAGGAGTGGATCTCAGGTTGACCTTGGGCCCTGTGTGGGGGGATGGTTTGGAACCAAGAGGTGGTTCACGCAGCTGCAGCTTGCGTGCTGCCTTACCCTGGCTTGTGAGAGAAAGCTGGGTGCAGGCTACAGCTGTTGAGCTCAATTTATGTGAATAGTTTAGACTACCGTGCACAAGGCGTGGCTGGTCTAGGAGAATAGGATTAATAGAATAGATTAAGGGGAAGGAAATAGAATAGATTAAGGGGAAGGAAATTTGTGATACTACAAGGAAGACCAGAACCATCAGTCTGTGCTTGGCTGAGGCTGATTTGGCTCAAACATCAGCTAGGATAGACCATGCTGCTATTTCCTTATGGTAACAAGGAAGCTTTGGTAAAGATTAAAGTTAAATAGTTCCAGGCACCCTGAGGGTAGAATATCTATTGGGTCAGCTGACTGAATATCTATAAACACCAAGACTATATTGACAGGATAAACATAGGCATAGCATCGACATCCACCTGAGTATGCGGTCACTCTGCCTTCTCCCCTCCCTGTCCCCCAACACGCAACACTGTCACAGAGAAGCGAAGGGTGGGAACTAGAAGTAAAAACATTCTGCTTTCTCCAAGGAGATAAGGAGAATCCCTTGTCTGTTCCCTCACCCTTATACTCCCGACACGTCTGCTGGAAAATGAACCTCTGGGAATGAAACATCTCCGGCCATTGTCTCTTCAATTCAGGCTTTATGGAACATAATGTTAAATTTGGAAGGAACAGAAACACCTACATGCTCCGATGTGAAGGCGATGAGCCTGGGAACAGCAGCCATCCCTTTCTCCTTGACTTCCGGGAACATCTTAAACCGTGCGATCATCATGGCGTACATGTTCGAAATGGCGCCACCTAAAATGCACCACAATACACAGGTACTTCCCGTTATCATCAACATCATTTCACGTGCCAGCAACATTCCTTATTTCCACTGACCCAGAGTCTTCCTTGGGCACAGAGGAAACCTTGTTGGCCATCCTTGGAACTGAGTCCTCAGACTTAAAGGCACCTTGGTCCCAACCTCTGCCTAGGGGTCACCCTACCCCACCCCCATTCACTAAGGGAGGCTGCAATAGATTCTGCTCTTACTGGGAACCCTTTGGAGAGACTTTCAAAGATAGAAAATGTTGCCTTCCTTCCCAGCTTGTAAGTGGGGTCATTCTGCATTAGGCTCATAAAATTCTATGGACATCCTGATGGAGAATGCTTACTTCTTTTCATTGTAACTCATACTTGGACTAAGATAAATCAGCTGCTGTTAAAGGTGCAGATGACCAGCAATTCCTATAGAATGAAGAATAAATACCCAAGTCCATCTCATCATGCTCATCTGTTCATTCCCACAAACCAATCCTTCCCTCTCAAAGACATCACACTGACGTTGAACTGTATTAGTTAACAAAACCTGTTCTGTAATTACAGAGAAGCACCCAACTAATAGAATTTCCTCGTGTCATCCTAAGGTGGTCAGGGATTCTGAACCAACAGATTTGTGTCTCTCGTAAGTAGTATCTCACGTGAAAAGCAAAGCAAAGTGAGATTTCCTTAGGGTTGTTGGGAAGCTTAGGAGTTTTGCTATCCAGGAGAAAGGCAGATTATTGTGAAGGTGAATGAATGTGCTGGCATGGGAGGCATGAGACAAGGAAGCGGAGTAATGGTACTACCTCCCCTTCCCCCCCCATAGGGGGACACCCCTAGGTGGGACACCCCTGCCTTCCTGGGAGTGCTTGAGTGGCCTTCTCTCCTGATGGCTGAGGAGCAGGAGGGCTCTGTGCCATGCAGAATGGCGCAGCAGGGCTATGATTCTGGCTCCATGTGTCCTGGGCTGTGACCTGGCACAGGGGAGTCATCACCCATCAGTCAGAATGAGGTCAATGCCTACGTTTCTGGACCCCAGAGACACAGGACAAATAGAATCCAGGCCAAGCCTCCTCTGAGCACGCACCCTGTCTAGAAGACTGTAAGACGCCATACCCAGGGTTGGCTTCTGTGGGAACATCCATTCTAGCTCGTGGTTTCTCAATCTTGGGATGTAAGACATTTTGAGCTACACAATTCTTTGTGGTGAGGGCTGTGCTGGATATTGTAGGGTGTTTAGCAAAATCTCTGGCTTCTACCCACCAGATGCCCACAGACTCCCTTCCCCAGACAACGAAAAGTGTCTACATATAGGGTGGCCGTATAGTTCATGCGCAAATTGCAAATTGGACATGAACTTTGTGTCCACCCTATATATTGCCAATTGCCAAATGTCCCTTGGAGAGATACGTGTGTGTGTGTGCAGAATAGCTCTGTTTGGGACCTGTAGCGCTACTTGTCCTTCTCAAAGAGGCTGGGGGAGGAAGGAAGGGAGAAGAGGAAGGGGAGGATGTACCCAAAGAAAGTGCTTCACAGGGAGCTACCCAGGAGGCCTGAAGACTCAGCAGCCTGAGGGGGGAGAAGGAGCTTCTGGGTCTGCTCAGAGCAGGCTGCATTGTGCAACGTGGGTGAGGATCCACGCATGAGCCTTGCCTGCTCTCGTTTCATACAAAGCCTTTCACAAAGGGTGAAAACAAGTGCTGAGACAGTCTGCATCTCTTGTTAGATAGGAAAAGGTCTGTGACTCAGCCCCGTTTCTTTGTTCCCCCTTAGCGTTTGTCCTTTTTGACCTGCTGAGCAGGGAAGAGTATGCCTTGTCACTCTGGGCCCCAGGTTTAGTTGACGTTCCATAAGCAGTTTCTTCTAGTTCTGCAGAACTGTCCGAGAAGCTCAAAGGCTGTGGATATTATAGGCAGAGGTGTGAGGCTCCTGGGCCAGGCTATATATTTAAGTCACAGACATAGGCAGGCGGTGCCCGGAGCTCAGTGGGTAGGGTGCTGGCCACATACACCAGGCTGGTGGGTTTGAACCTGGCCCAGGCCTGCTAAACAACAATGACAATTACAAAAATAAATAAATAAATAAAATAAAATAAGTCACAGACATCATTTGTCACAGCAAGTCCCAGAGAATGAGACTTTTAGATCACAGGCATGTAAGAGATATGATTTTTCCTATCCCCCTGCTTAAATTATAAGACTCTTTATCCCAGAAACAAGGCCGGGCATTATCTAGAAAATCAGCCATTAGCAAGCAGAGATGTTATGGTCATTTTTCTCCCTGATGCTTTATAGAAAGTAGAACAGAAACAGGTTGCTGGGGCAGCGCCTGTGGTGCAGTGAGTAGGGTGTGACCCCATATACTGAGGGTGGCAGGTTCAAACCCAGCCCTGGCCAAACTGCAACACAAAATAGCTGGGCGTTGTGGCAGGCACCTGTAGTCTCAGCTACTTGGGAGGCCGAGGCAAGAGAATTGCCTGAGCCCAAGAGCTAGAGGTTGCTGAGAGCTGTGACGCATTGGCACTCTACCGAGGGTGACAAAGTCAGACTCTGTCTCTAAAAAAAGAAATAGGTTGCCAGCGGCCACTTCTGCTTGTCCCCTTCCCACTGTGCAACCTGTGCATTATACTGTGGCATGACATCTGTGGCTTGCACCTTGGGGTAACAGCATATGGGTATTTGGGCTCCAAGAAAGCCTAGAATCCTCGTAGTAGAGCTAATTGAAATGAGCATAAATCTGCTTCCCTGCCTGTTATTCCAAAGACTGGAGTGGTACATATGCTCTGTTGAGTGTATCTACCTAGAACTTTCTCATCATCAGCAGTGGTGCAGGGGTAAGGCCTAAGCCCATATCTAGCCTAGGAGAGCTGCCAAAGAGGAATCTTTCTCTGGGTATACGTTTTCTTGGGGATGTAGGTTTCCAGATGAGCTAGGGAAATTAGTTCCAGGCCCGAGTCCAATAAGTCACAATATCAAGATCAATAGCTGCACCAGTCCTCTTTCTACTCCTGAGGAACGGTAAAATAGAGCCCAGAGCTGGGCGTGGTGGCTCACGCATGTAATCCCAGCACTTGGGAGGCCAAGGCGAGCGGATTGCCTGAGCTCACAGGTTTGAGACTAGCCTGAGCCAGAGCGAGACCTCCTCTCTAAAAATAGCTGGGCATTGTGGGGGGCACCTGTAGACCTAGGTACTCGGGAGGCTGAGGCAAGAAAATCGCTTGAGCCCAAGAGTTAGAGGTTGATGCGAGCTAGGATGCCATGGTGCTCTACCCAGGGTGACAAAGTGAGACTCTGTTTCAATAAATGAAATAATAAAATAATAAAATAAAATAAAACAGAGCCCAGCATGCTCCAGGTTCATCTTGGGGACAGCTCAGTCCTACAACCAACCACATATGGGGAGGAAGAAGAAAGGTAGAAGTGATATTGATTTTGCTATCCTAATCTCTTCTTCTTAAAAAATGCCCTCAAAGTGTCAGTTTCAGGTGATGAGGACAAAGCTCCCTGGATGGGGTGGTTTTCCAAAGGAAAACTAAGTACTAAGTTCCTATAAAAGAAAGGCTAGCTTCAAACTCGTCACAGCTGGTGTTCAATGACTTTTTTTTTTTTAAAAAGGCTAATTTTCCCTTCCATTTAACTAACACTTTTTCTTTCAGCACCTGAAAAATTGTGCTCTATGTTTAAAAACAAAATAAAATAGCACATCCGAGCTTATAGACAAACACGCTTATCTGATGCCCTGGCCTTGAGGTCACTGTGGTTTGTTTATCACCTCTTCTTTCCACTTTTCCTATTTCTTTTTCCCCCTTCTCTCTCATCATTTGCTTGTCTTGGTAGATTTGCTGAAGAGAGCTCCCACTTGGCCTTTGCCTTCCCTGACACTAAAGTAGGTGTGGCCCTGCTGTGTCCCCAGCAGGGACACTCTCGATGGACTCACACGACTTCCAGCCACTGAGGAGGCGATGGTCTGCACAAAAGGTTTCTTTTCCATGAGTCAGTGACTCTCCTTCCTACTGCCTTCCTCATTTCTATTTCTTTTTTTGTATCCAATCAAGGTCAGGGTTAGAACTGTAAACCAAGGTTGATTCTCTTAGCTCAAAGATATGTAAACAATGGAGTTTAGGGTGCAATGGCCAGTTACAAAGAGCAGAATGAAAAAGTTGAATGTCGTGATAAAGAAGGGAAGGAATGAGAAAGCTCTTGGAGAAATCTTCATAAATTTTTTTTTTTTTTTTTGAGACAGAGTCTCAAGCTGTTGCCCTGGGTAGAGTCCCATGGCGTCGCAGCTCACAACAACCTCCAACTGTCGGGCTTAAGCAATTCTCTTGCTTTAGCCTCCCAACTGGCTGGGACTACAGGTGCCTTCCACAATGCCCGGCTATTTTTTTTTTTTTCGGTTGTAGTTGTCATTGTTGTTTGGTGGGCCTGGGCTGGATTCGAACCGGCCAGCTCCAGTGTATGTGGCTGGCGCCCTGGCCACTTGAGCTACAGGTGTCGAGCCGAAATCATCAGCACTTTTTTAGCTCTAAGAAATTATCTCCTGAGGCACTCTGCCCTCCTTGAAATTAGGGTAAATCTGCTTCCCCGCCTGTTATTCCAAAGGATAGAGCAGTACAAATGCTCTATTGAGTAGCTCTGCCTTGCTGTGTACCCTCAAATAGCAAATACTTCCTTGAATGAGGCCACGCTTTTCCTTTCGCTAATTCTAGGAGGAGCATCAGAGAATGAATTCCCTTACTGGGAATCTTTATTCTTTGGTCTCACATTATCCATATAGCCTGTTTGTAGGATGACAGAGGAAGTTCTGGGTAAGTACTATCTCTGATGATGCTCTTTTAAAACACAGTATGTACCATTCAAGCACGGGGTAAATTGGAGGCATGCCCAATGGTCATGTGCACTTCATCACATTCATTCCTTTGAGGAATGCAGTCTATTTAACGTAAGCAGAGACAAGGGTTAGGTAGTTACTCTTTCCTAGATCATATCAAGGCACTGCACGGTAGAAGACAGCATACAAAGAAAGGTTGAAATATCACATACCAGGAGAGAATATCCCATCGCCAGAGCCTCCTGGCCAGCCAATGATTTCTCTCATTTTCTTTAGCGTGACATATTCCAAAAGCACAAATACTGGAGCAATTTCATAGGTGAACCTGAAACGCAGTAATGGCCCCGTGTTAGGTATGTTAACGCCAAGAAATCATTCACCATCATCACCACATCTGCACATTCACAAATGTCATGCTTCTAATCTTAAGCAGAGAGAAGATTATTTCAAAAGGGTCTTCCAAATCCTGTCCTCATTTTTCTGGATTCCTAAAGTCAAGAGCTTCTATTATTTATCTAATGCACATGGGTAGTTTATCACAGTGAATTAATAAAGAGCATTGCAGAATATACTGTTTAATAGACAGCCAGGACCACTTCTCTTACACATTATGCGTAATTATAAACTAAACATGCCAAAAAAAATCCTTTTTGTGCTTTAAGGTTTTTGTATAGTTTGAGTGTGTGAAAGATAGATCAGGACTATTTTCTATGAAGTTAGCATGAACACTGATGTACTTCTGAAGTTCATATCACTATTTTAGGGGCTACTTCATAGAAAGATTTTCACGTACGAGGTGAAGACCATGGAATCTCACTCATAATTATCCTGGATTACACAAAAATACATTTAGCGACTTACATGTTAGTGTTTGCGGTTGATGTGAGCCAGTCTGCTGCTAATCCGACCATATCCAAGCCGGTGGAAAGTTGATTGAAATATCTGGGATGCCCTGAACAAAATGGAATACCAGAATCAGGATTGAGAGGCCATGAAAACAAATACCTCTCAAACACATGACTTCCATAGCTAAAGAACCTGGAAAGAGCCTTCAGTCACAGGAAATTCCTATTCAGAAAGTTGACGTTCACGCACGCGTGCAAATGTATAAGAACCCACACTCACAGCCTTGAAAGCATTTCCTATCATCACACAGGCTACTTTGGGTTTGGAAATGTCTTAAAACAGACTCTAAAAATATTCCCCTAAACATACCCTCTGAGAGACAACAAGTGTGGCTTGCAATCTGGACACTGGTTTTGTTTCTACATTCTTCCAATAGTTTTGCAAACCAGAATGGTACCTCAAACCCAACGCAATTCAAAGACAGGTGACTTCTCGTTTGCACTCCTGCTGCTAAAGATCTCTTTTTGTTGTAGTGGTTCTGAGAATCAGTCAGACCGTGACATCCCCCCAGGCATGCCAACATTCATAATAATATCAGTGACAAATGGCTGATGATTACAAAAGACAGGGCAAAAATGAGAAAATAGGACACCCTCGCTGAGTGATCTGCCCTGGATTCAAGAGGAGATGATTGTCTCAACTGTGGCATGGATAAAGCTAATTCTTGCCAATTCTTTTCTGCCTTAATATTTGATTATCAACAACAGAGCTCTCTCCTAGTTACAAGTTAAAAGAAAGCCGAATACAGTTAGCATTACTGTCTTGTCAACAAGATACGTAAAAAAAAAAATTCAATGGCCCAAGTGGTCCATGAGGAAGACTTAGCTAATTAACTTCTGGATTTCTCTAAAACTCTCTCAATGGACTGACATCCACATTCTCCTGAGACTATTATTTAAAATGTGATTATAAATAGCTCATTAGAATTCTGTTTCCTCCACTCACCCCACAAAAGCTTACGGATAAGTCTGTGATTTGCATAGTAGCAAAAATCATGGCAGAGGAACAATTATGGAAATAGCATCTGATAAAAAGGTACCTGCCACTTACTGGACATCCGTCTGAAGCCTGGGGATGTGATAGTCTCTGGTTGCCAGCCCCGGCAAAACAAGATAAAGGAAGGCAATGGGGGAAAGCGGGGACAAAAGTCAACGCACAGCTTATCTCCTGGACTGGAGCCTCTCTCTTATCAGCCTCAGGCATGTGGCCAGAGAGTTAGACAGTGGGAAGAGATAGGGCTGGGAAACAGCACCGTCTAGAGGGATTGGGGCTTGTGGACATGATTTTACCTTCTCGTGGCCTTGCACGGAACCTTTTCTACCTTTTTCTGCTCTTTTCCAGGCCCTCTGAGGCTAACCCAGGTCAGGCAACCCATCTATGAAAGGTGAAAAGGGCTTCTTTCCTGCTGCTGCGGCTGCTGCTGACATCTGGAGCAACCCTCCCCTGCTCTCTGCCTCAGTGATTCCCCATTTCATTATGCTGGAATTGCAGCTGAAATCATGCCTTCTCCCTCTGAGGCCCCTTCATTTCTCTTTCCCCAAGCCATTTTTTAAAAGGAGGAAATTCATAAGGATTAGCAAATCCATCCATTAATCTACTCTCCCCATTCATACACACTTTCTGGATGAGTCTGCTGTCTATTATCACTCAGTATTTAACACCAGGGAAACCATGGCATGGAAATCTCTGCAGAAAAATGAGAGAGATTCTAAGAGGTATGCTGTGGCCCTGGATAGCAGAAGGGAAATCTGCCCCAATTGACCACTTGTGGCAAACTCCGAAAACAAGTATGATGTTTCTATTGCTGGGTTTGCCTTTTGCTACCTGTGTTGTTGATCTTGGTCATCCATTTTCATCTGAATCTCTCCTGCCTCAAAATGTTCATTCATTTGCTCACTTTTCATTCATCATTCTGTGAAAGTACAGAGGGAAGTAGTTTGATAGGGTAGGGCAACAGGCCCTCTTGGTTTCTGGTAGAAACAGACCCCTAATTATATTTGCACTTGTCCTGTGGCCCCTACAGCCTGCTACAGAGGGCTCCCCAGTGAGTGAATTGAGGCAGGGCTCTCTGAGAGAGAGTATGAAAGTCTATCAGCTGTCTGGAAGCCCCAGGCATCCCACTGCTGCTACGCCAGGTAGGGCTTGGTGATGGGGGCACCACTTGCTAGGCTGGGGCTTGGGGGGGTCACACACAGCCTGTATAACCAGGGAGACAGAGCATTTGAGATGTGAGATTCCAGCCCTTCCAGACTCTGAAATGCTCCCCACAAGTCAGCAAATGAGCCCGGAAAGGTGCTCAGACTCTGCCAACAACCAGCTTCAGGCGACTCTGATGGTCACAATCGGTCAGGGAGGGACCAAAAGTCAGTCCCCACTGCCCTTTCTATACTGGCAACACTCACAGAGGGGTGGATTCATTTATCCACTTTTCAATTTCTTTTGTCTGATGGCTGGGCTAAAGATTCTAGACTACTTTACCCCCTACTCTCTCCCCCAGCCACCACCATCACCACTATCATCAAATCTAACGACATCCACAAACACTAACTACTCCAGAATATTATCATTCCCTGCAGGTTTATATTCCAATATTTCTTCCAGAGGTAATTTAACAATCCATAAAGACTTTCATTTTCAAGGATTTCTCTACTGCCCCTTACTCCTCTCTAAGCTTGGAGTCCAAGAAGAAATCAGGTTAAGGACTCTGAGTAGGAACCAACTGATAACATGCATTTTATAAAATAATCTCCCCAGAATTCCAATGTCTTCTGGTAGCAGGATGGTAACTACTTTGACAGATCCCAAATAGTATTAGATGACAAATATGACAGTTATAGCATAAAAAAATCCATAAACTTGCCCCTTGAGGTGAGAAGATGATGCTGTTAATTTTTTTGATATGTTATTTGGGAAGAGAAGGCCAGCAGAGTAAATATTATGAATAATATTGAGATACTGAATTAATATTGATACACCTTGCTTAGAAATTCAACTGAATCCATTATATTTTTTATTGGAATTTTAAATAAATACATTAGAGCAACAGTTCAACAGTTGCACAAGAATTATGGCAGAATTTAAGTATTGAATCAGCCCATCTTTCCCAGACTTTAAATGGAAGGTTGATAGACAGAACTATTACTTTCATTGACTTGCAATTCCCATGATCTTAACTCTTTAAATTGCATTTCAAACACAACTAGCTTTTAAGGATGAAGATGTAAGTAAAACATTTTTATAGATTCTTCTTGGCTTGGTAACAACCAAAATAATAGGCAGCAATTTACTATTAACATATTTAAACAGTAGGTAAGGGGAACGGCTCAGAGGAAAACTAATTAAAGTAATTGCTGGGACCACACCTACGGTGCATCTTACAAGGGTACATGTGAAACTTACTAAATGTAGAATATAAACATCTTAACACAATAAGAAAATGCCATGAAGGCTATGTTAACCAGTTTGATGAAAATATTTCAAATTGTATATAAAACCAGCACATTGTACCCCATGACTGCATTAATGTACACAGCTATGATTTAATAAAAAAAAATAGAAAAAAAAACATTGTTCAGATTTGCACGGACAGATCTATGAAAAGCTGCAGGAAGCACATTTTTTAAATGTCATCATTTATAGACATCATGTGGGTTCTTATGAACATTGACTGTGGACAGTATTTTATAAGCCTTCAAAAATGAGGCCGCAGATTGATAAAAATAACAAGTTAAATTTCTTTCCCGATGTATCTAGTTCTGAGTCTACAGTCTCCCAAAAGTATATACTAATAATGTGGTAAATCGATTTCCCAAGCTTTCTTTTCTTCTATGTATACCTTTCTTCTCTGTTGGTATAAAGAATGTGAAAAAAAAAAAAAAAGGACTGAAGAGTCCATTAGAATAATACTGATAATTCACCAACAAAAATTTTGCAATATAAAAAGATGACCGTTCCTATGCTAAATAATGTTCCTGTCCTACTTTATGTTTGTTACTTGCTAGAAAATCTTTTTAAGTCTACTAATCACAAAGTCTCCCCCCTCTCCTAGAAATTCATTCCTATTCGTTTTTATTGCTTTAATGAGGTGCCATGCCATCATGTATCAGGATGATTAGGGACCATGAAGCAAGAATGGGTGATCGTGACCTGGGCAGATGAACAGCTGACTTTGTGTAGATAAAATGGAAGCTTGGAGTGCACCCGAGTACATGTTACACCTGAGCTACACCATGGATAGAGTATAAAGAACACTGTGAAAAAGCAATAATCAGACCACAAAATACATTAGATAAAATTTACCCCTAAAGATTTCTGATCCATCCCTTCCCTCCTTCTTTCTTTCTTTTAAATACACAGTTGCTGGAAGGGACACACATCCTTATATCACATGGCTGAATCGCTAGTCTATATTGTATTTTTTTTTTTTTGTCTATGTGTGCATATTTCTTTAAAAAAATAGGAAAAAAAATTCAGAATTCAAATCTTGGCCATTTGAGACAATGCCAAACCCTCATCCCTCTGGCTCAGTAATTACATAGAATGGTCAGCCCAGTTTCTGACCAGTTCCGTGGCAGAGAAATTCCCAGCACTACACTGCCATTTGGGCTTTTGTTTGCATCATGCCTTTTTGAGCTTTAATTTCCATATTCCTTGTCTTTCTCCATTTTGAGTTGCTTCTACCGGCCTCTGCTGACAAATGGTTGCCTCTACACCAGTGAGTTAAATCTCGCTGATGTAAGATCTGGTGATTTATGCCTCCATACCGTTTCTGATATTATCAACTTCGGAAGCATTAACAACAGCGGAAGGTGCTTTCGATTTGAAGCATTGCAATAAGGACTATTTTGCAGAGAATGAAAAAGACCTGGGCAATTTTGAAAATACCAGTAGCTCCACAAAAACAAAGCATTTTTATAGAAAAGGATTGCAAGAAAAAAATAGCTTTATTATTTCTGATTGGACAATACCTGTTTTAATTGCATACTTTAGAGTCGTTTGGCAATGCGTCAAAATTTCCTCCAAATTTTGCGGTTGATCTGCCAATTCCCAATTGTACTCCTGAAGAAGCTCATTAGGATAATGGAAATCAATCACTTTGGTTGATCTATCGAAACTCTTCACCACATACTGAAGCAAAATGTCCACAACGTCTTGTAGAAACGCCAACGTGGGCCTTTCTCCATCACAAGCTGGCAGCAGATCTAAAGAATGGAATTGAAATGTCACATCTTAATTCTATCATCAAAATATTCAGGCGAGGTCTCGATCAGGCAATTTCTCTCTGAACTGAGCAATTTCATGTTTAAAGAAAGCTTTTGGAAACACAAATCAGTTTCCTGTTTTCAAAGACAAAGAGAATGAAGGAGAGGATTGATTTCTTCTCTCCAAATCAATTCTTGCATTTCAAGTCATAACTTAGTTTTACTTTTTTGGTGTGTGTGTAAAGAGAGTGCACCTCCACTTATCTATTTCACAGCAGTTCGTTGTTTTCTAACCGTTATTTCTCAGTAAATCATCTTAAATGTTTATGGACGTACTTCACGTCAGAAATGTTTGAGGAATGCCTCTGAGCAGAAAAGGCAAAATGGAACATGCAACTTTGGCATCTCTGGCTGTTTCCACAAGGGGTGTGTGTGTGTGTGTGTGTCAGAGAGAGAGAGAGAGAGAATGAATTTGGGAAACCGGGCGTGTAAGCGCACGGGGATAAAACTTCACGTACGGATCTCACATTAATAGCATCGTTCTCCTGTGAAGTCACTCCCACGACCTAATCTAAAGACATTAAAAAATCTCAGCATTTCTGCATTCCCTGGCACTGTATGTAAAATCGAGTCCCACCTGAGGCCCCAGCGGCCTGGGGAAGTCGACATTGAGCCACAGCGCGCGCGAGCGCCTAGGTCACCGCCGCCCAGAGGGCAGCGCTGGGGGGACAGCGCTGCTTTGCCGGAGCCCTAGTGGAGCGCAGAGGCCGGGGGCCAGGGCTCCGACAGAGAGGGCAGGTCCAGCATTTCTTGCTGTTGTCCGAAGATTGTGGCAGGGCCTGCTTCTGCCCGTCACCTGGACGCCTCGATCCTGCTCCCAGCCAGTCCCTCCAGGCCGCGTTGGGAGGGGCAGAGAGGGGCAGGGACGCCTGAGGCCCCGCGAGGTGCCCTTACCTGTTGCATGTAGAAATGCGTAGTTGACATCCCCTTTGGGACAGCTGCAGGGTTTCTGGTTGCAGGCGCAGGCGGCCTTTCTGGCGGCGGCTCGCGGGGGCCCGCTCCCACCGCTCTCTGCTGGCTTCTCTGCGTCCCCATAAAGCAGGGCTGGGCAAGGACATGGAGCACCGGACTCGGTCAGCCGCCCCCCAGGCCCGGTTCCCTCGTCCTCACCCACCTGCGGCCAAGAAACCCCGTCTGCACCGATGCAGGGTGCAGAGGTGAGAAGGCGGCTTCGACCCAGCCGGCCGCAAGCTCCCGACCTTGCCAGTCCCGCGTCCCCGGGCGCCCGCACTCACCACACAGCTTGTTGCCGATGCCTCCCGTGAACTTCTGAGCCACTTGGCACCAGGCTCTCGCTGCAAGGAAAGACAGGCGGGCGGACAGCGAGGCAGAAAGAGAACAACAGACAGACGTGTGAAATTTCGTTCTATGGGAACGTCCATAGGCCCGGGGTCCCAGGAAGGGCTGCCTTCCTCTTGTGTGGCCGCCTGGGACCCGGCGCGGTGGGCAGGTGCGCGACGAGTGGGAGTCCAGCTGCCTCGACTAGCCCTCATTTCGTTGATTTGTTTTCCAAGCAGAAGCCCACACCGCGGCCGTCTGTGCTCCCCTTTTAGGTGCCAAACGGTTCAAACTCCGCTCTCTGCCTGGCTTGGGCGAGTTTCCCCAGACACTGAGGCTGTCAGTTTCCTCGCAGGCTCTTTCTAGAGCAAGAATTCTCTCCCTGTTCCCATTTTTCCTGTCTCCCCCGCCTCTCTGTCCCTCCCCAGGCTCCAGACATCAAGATGATAGCACTGCTCCAGGCCCACGGAATTCGGTGTCCTGGAGACGCCGCCGTCTTTTTTTTTTTGGGGGGGGGGGGTATCTCCCAGCTTTCCGCGGAAGGAGCCCAAGACTCTTTAGGCACCTTCCCAGGGGACAAGGGGCTGTAGAGGTCTTGGGTCTTGGGACATTAAGGACTTTACCCCCGAAAGCAGGGCTAAGCGCCCGAAGAAGTTCCTGTTGCAGGTGGAAAAACCTCCTTGGTATTCCCTGTAGCCCTGCACCCCCCACTCCACCTGCAAAACTCTTCTGCTGCGGGTCCCGTTCTCCTACCTGTGCCGGGATTCTCGGGATCCCCGGAGCCATCCTCAGACCCGAAGGACCAAAAGCCGGAGCCGGGAGTTGCCATTGGCGATGCGAGACTGGAGCAGGTCGCCTCCGAGTGTTAGCTGCGTACAAGCTGCCTTCAACTCGGCCCTGCGCGCGCGCGCCTGTGTGTGGCGGGAGGAGGGCACCGCACGGGGACCTGCGGGGCCGCGCGGCGAGGGTGGGTGTCACACAGGGACAGAAAACGTGCGTGTCAGCGTGTGCGTGTGTGTTGGAGTTAAGAGTTTAGGGACCTGGCAACGCTGTGGAAGCCGTGAAATTTAAATAGGGAAGGGGACAGAATGGTCCTCACAGTCTGGAGATAGGAAATCACAGAGCGCCAGAGAGGTTTTGAGGACGAGAGAGCCCTGTGGGGTGCATGAGGGGGCGGCGGAGAGAAAAAATGGGAAAGGGAGGGAGCTGAATCGTGAGGACGCGAGTCAGACAGTGCGTGCAAGCTGGAGTCACAGCGAGGGGGTGGGAGGCGTGCAGGCGCGTCCCCGGAGAGCAAGAGGCGTAAAGTGTCGGCTGTCCACGTCCTCCGGGGCGCGCTGTCCAGGGTGCTACCGCAGTAGGCAGGGCTTTGGCCTCAGCCAGGGGCGAACTGGGGAGACCCCGGCGAGGGGGGTAGAGCGGCTGAAACGAGTTTTATGTACGCATGGATTGGTGGATTGTTTGAAGTCTGGCTCTGGCTGTGGGGAAGGAAGCTCAGTACTCGTGCCTCCATCCTCTAAGCGGGTGCTGAGGTCGCTGCGACCTCGAGAGAGCTCGGGCCACCTAGCTAGAATCAGGGACCTTTTCTGAGATTGTGTGTGTTGGGGGGAGACAGTGGGGGAAGGGCGCCTACCCGCTGATGGATTCATTTCAGCTCCTTAGTAGAGCCTAACGCCTGCCCAGTGAGCCGCGCCGTCCCCCGGGGCGCACGGTTCCTGTGCAGCCGAGGGCTAGATCGCAGGACCACGGTCCAAACTGCGACTGACGGCTAGGTAGAAGGACCTATGATTGAGGCAATTAAAATCCACGCTGGAGTCGATCACTAAGGACCTCGGGCTGGAGGGAAAAAAAAGTAATAAAACGAATGGAAACTTCTTGGAAGAGATTGGGAGGAATCGGAGCGGTCAGAGCCAGGACTGATGACTGATGGGGGTGGTGAGGATAAGATCAGGTCATTTAGTGACCTTGGACCACGGAGGCGTGGAGGGCCTGCTGCTTACGTGTGCAGGGAATCCGTGTGTGCGCGGGAGGAGGGGCGCACGGGGTTTCCAACCAAGCAATTTCGGCTTTCCAAATCTGTGTAGGAAAGATGGCATCGCCTGCTGGGTCCTCCTTTTAGGGCGTCTCAAACCAATGACCCTCCTTCCCCCCACACCGCCCTAAGACAATCTTCACGGTAGTGAAGGGCTGGGGAGCGGGAAATGAGCTGTCTCTAAGGCCTGGTGGGAAGGGGTTCTTTCTTTTCTAATAAAGAAAAGGCCGAAAAAAAAATCTTTCTGATGATTTCCCTTCTCTAAAGAGCTGTTAGGATGGCACACTGAATCCGCCTTGCTTTCTCTTGGCGGTCGAGATCACTTGAAGTACACTTTGCTGATCCCGGGGCTTGCAGAGAGAGGATGAGAATGACCCTGGCGGGAAAGAGCTGCCTTCGGTTCCGGAGGCGTCTGCCTTCCCCGCGCCTTTCCAGAGCGCCTGTCAGTTCCATTGTGTTCACAAGCTTTTCTTTCCCTGGCCTTCTGAACCAGTCGCCAGAGCCGCTGTCAACGCAGAGACCTGTGTATCCTCAGTCTTGGCTAACTCCTCTCTGCCCTCGTTCACTTGGGGCGCGTGGGGCTCCAGGTGGTCGCGTATTGGCCCAGGTCCTGTGTCCCCAGGCACAATTGTCTCCTGGTTAATTCTCTCCACAAAGCGTTGTTTTCTCACATGTCCAAGTCCTGGGGATCCCCATGGCATCCTGAGATCTACACTGCGACCCCAGGTTCCCGGCACCGAGGGTTGGAGCTGGGGAGGGCGCTGGTTGGGGTCCTTACTTGTGGAGCCTAGCTGGCTGGCTGGAAAAGCCCAAACGGCTGCTGCTGTCACCAATCCAGGCCTCAGTTTGGCCACTTTCGGACTCCCGGTTCCAATGCTCCAGTCACAAAGATAACTCCAGGAATGTGAAGACTACCTGGTTTGGCCATCTGCACCGCAGCCTTCGTTCCAGCCACCCCAGGACAGCTTCTTTGTTTAAATCCACACCAAATCTGCAAAGGGTGTGCTTCAGACCAGCAGGCAGGGGTTGCAGAAGTTTTCTACTATGGATGAGTGTCGAAGGCATGAAGGTGATTAAAAACAGGCATTTAAAACACACACAAAACTCCCAAGGATTAAAAAATACAAGAAGGGTAGAAATCTCAACACTTGAATTTAACTGATTTTTTTTTTTTTTGGAAGGCAAACACTTCAACCTCCATTGTTCAAACTCCACGAAATCCCGCAGCTCTGGAGTACTTCAAATCTAATGGTGGTATTTACATTTTTTTTTTTTTTTTTAAATTTAAACGCACCCAGCTTTGGAGGCAGACCGGGATCTGATTTGTCTTTCCTTAACCCAGCACCTCCCTAGAGGGCAATTTGCTTTATAATGACTTTGATTTTGCAAAAGAGCCCCATGCCCCCCTCCCCCCTCTGCGACTCTGAATTGGAGATAACAAAAGAGCTCAGGGAGGTAATAATTACAGTCATTAGTTCACAAAGGAGGCAGCCACCAAATGGGAAGGGGAGGCTGGCCAGTGCTGGCGGAAAGCTTTTGAAAGCATTTCCTCGAATAAGGGGAGAGAGACCTGATGGCGAGAGACAGCCTGCAGGGACAGTCTCCTCGCAGGAGCTATTTTGTTCCGGGTGGGTTATCCAGAGACCCGTCGCCCCCCAGAGAGTCTCTGGTCCAAGTTTTCTCTCGTCCTTACATGTGGAAGGACACACAGAGAAGGAGAGATGGAAAGAGAAAGTAAATGGAGAGGCATCAAAGAAATAGGAAAGAAAACAGAAACGACAACACTGCAGCGGTTCACCAAGTGCGAGCCGTTCTCTTTTCTAGTCTCACTTTAAAAAAGAAGTGAGGGAGGATTTGGAAGAGGGCTCGTAGCCTCCCCTCCAGCAACGGAAGGGCAGTGCCACCCAGGAAGCCGGGACTGAGGGGAGGGCCTGGCTGTCAAGCACAGCTCTGCTCCCTCCGCACCCCAAGGCCTCCTGGAGGGGAGGGCCCACCGAGGGTTTCAGACACTCCTGTTCCCCTCACTCCTGGCCTGTGGGGTCTTGGTGTGCTCGCTTCCTTGGCGCCAGGGCCAGGTCTGGCCGCTCGGTGACTCGGTACAGCCGGGGGTGATTCGCTTTCCGACCCAACCCCTGGAGAGGCCCAGGCGCTAACCCAGGGACAAACAAGGCCAGCAGCACACTTGGAATCTGGACAGGGCCTGCCACTGCTGGAGGTTCCCTCTTCGCTGGATCGTATTTGTAAAATAAAGCGGTGGCCTGCATCATCTCCCGCGACCTTTCAGCGACAACTCTGGGAATTGGAAAGGCTCTCATTGTCCCTTGCACCAGCGGCGTCGCAGCAAACGTTATGAAGCCCTCAGCGCGCGCCCTCACTAGTCCACCGAGTGTTTCCCTAGAGTTTTCTGGCTCTAGCCGGTAGGTGGAGGAGCCCAGGGCACTCACAGATGGGACAAGCCCTATCCCGGCCACAAGGCCAGAGCCCTTCTCAGGATTCAGTCATCCGTGGAACCACCTAGTCACCGGTCCTCATCCTCTCCAGCCCGGGTAGACTCGAACAGTGTCAGTTAACAGAGGAGCTTAAACCAGTGCACTCAACTGAGGAATGCAAACTTCTGCCCACCCACAACCCTGCTCCCCCATCTTAAATACACTCAAATTCAGAGCAGGGAAGATTACCCCCAGTTTACAGACTAGGAGGACCTAAAATCTGACAGTTCAGTTGAGAGGTGGGGACCGGAATTTATATAGGTGTGGGTGGGAAGGCAACGCGTGCGAGCGCGCTGTGCGGGTGTGCTGGGGGGTTGGAGATGTGTCTGGGGGCTGTGTTTGCGATGTTTTAGCTTAGATTCTATGTTTGTTTGAGGTGGCTGGGTGGTGGCGGCAGGCACTTCGCTGATGGAGACAGAAGGCACCTCAACACCCCACCCTGAGCAGGGCCACCAGCACAGCCCTACAGCAGAAGACCAGCCACGCAAACCACAGGCTTTCCAAGGCACTTCTTTTATTCAGTGACCGGCCGTAACAACGAAAGGAAGCGCGCAAGTCTAAGATGAAATTCATCTTCAAAATTCACTCCACCCCCGCGCTTTGTTCTCGAAGCTCCAACCTGTCCTCCAGTGTCGCGGGGCCTGGGGAAGACGTTTCCAAGAAAGAAGAAATCTTTGAGGTTACCCAGAATGAGGGAGGACTTGGGGCGGGGGGCGCTCAGGCGCAGTCCTGCCCACAGGACTCAGAAACAACTGAGCAAAGAGACCCATTAGGGGACCAAGGAAAGGGACGCTCCAACCAGCGGGCGGTGAGAGGAGAGGTGGCGTCGAGGTTTGCCGAGGGTTCCTGGTTCTTTTCTTTCGGAGCACAGAAGGCTGACCCTGGCTCTCCACTCCAGCAGACAGCCCCTTCGGGGCCGGGGAGGAGGCGTGCGCCAGAGCCCAAAGGTGCTCGCTTTGGCCCCAGCAACCCCACAGGCTCCAGCACTTTCCGACGGCTGCGGCCGCCCGGTAGCTGCCCTACACCTGCTGGACCAGGCGCCGGCGCTGGGATGTTTTGCGCAGCAGCCTCCGGTAGTCGTAGGGGTTGGCTGCTCGCCCGCTCTCCTCCTCCTCCACTTCCTCCTCCTCCGGGCTCTCCGCTGCCCAGCACCTGGGAGCGAGACCCAGTGTCAGCCGCGCCACCGCGCGTCCCCACCCACCCTGAGTTAGGCGGGTCCTCTTCCTCACAGGTTCCACCAACCGCTGGCCGGCATCTGAGAAAGGCCCGGTCGGAATGACAGGATCTGCCATTATTCTCTCCGCGGGT